TTCTCTTACCAGTCTTACTACTTCTGGTACAGTTGATTAGACTGGGATGTGGCTCTATTCTCTAAGTGTGATGCATCAGAGGAGGAGATTCAAAAGTCCTCACTGAAGCATCACAGATTTAGAAGAAGAGCCTGTTACTATAGCAGAAAGGTTGTGAGGAATTTTCATCCTGCTGTTTTGCACTGAATTCTTCAGTCATATTCTAAAGTCTGTCATCCATATTCCTAATCCAACCTGACTCATGTCCTCAAAAGAGGGAACACAGAGACAGACACAGAGAAGAGGGACAGGTAAGCACAGAGGCAGCAACTAAAGTGATGCATCTGTGAGCCAAGGGACACCAAGGACTGTCATTGACCAGCGGAAGTGAGGGAGGGCAAGGAAGGATCCTCTCCTACAGTCTTGAGAGAAGGATCCAACCTGGCTGACACTCTCAATCCCCACATTTGTCCCCCACAACTTTAAGGTAGTGAAATTGTGTTTTAAGCAAAATAATCATCAGTAGTGATATTGATTCCTTACCCAATTCTAGACCATGAAAGGATTTGTGTTATATCAGATAATTGAAAGACTTTAATCAATATGGAAAAGTCATGTTAGAGGACACACTGAAAATGTTATATTAAAAGGAAAGCCCTAGAATGAGTCTTTTTTATAACCCACTCTAATATTTTCTAAAGAGCAGGTATCATTTATTTTCCATGAGTTATGACTCTTTTTAAAAAAATATTTTTTATTGTAGTCAGACCCAATACTTTTATATCACTTATTTATTTTTATGTGGTGCTAAGGATTTAACTCAGGGTCTCGCACATGAGAGGCGAGCACTCTACCACTGAGCCACAACCCCAGCCCATGTTATGACTCTTTTTGACATCTACATATTTGACTACACAGGACAATACCAAACAGAGACTAATTTTCTTTTATTTATGCCTATCCCTAAAATATCTAATAAATATTTAGATATAAATATATGTAGTCTAATAATTTAAAATATTATTATTTAAAATTAAATGTAGGTATATAAATGATTTTATAAGTACTATATTCTACATACATATACACATGTATGTGTGTATGTGTATTTGAATCTGTTTGTATTCAGTCCAATCTGCTTGAAGCCTATTATTTGATAAAAACATTATTCTTAATAATTTTTAACATATTCCATACTTAATTCCTTCACACTAGCCTCTGTCATAAATATCCTTGAATCGTGGACACACTGAATCTTTGTCATGAAATTTCATGTCCTACGGAAAACAGAATTAACAACTTGGATGTTGACCTGTATTTCAGCAAATAAGTGCATTTGCTAAAGGAAACACACTTAACCATTAAAAGGATAATATAGTTAATAAACACCATCATAAAATTGTTCTAGTTGCATTTACATAGATCCCACATGTTTGCTCATCCTAATATTCTGCTGAGCGTCTCTTCCTTTGAGAAGCCAGTCCTCATGATCATCACAGGGTGTGTTTGATGTGCTCATTCATACCATTCCACTCTCCCTGGTCACAGATAATATCCATTTTCTCTAGATGGGTATTTGGGTTTATAGAACAATGTGTCTAAACAATATAAACAATGCATCTAAACCACACTTTGACTGTTGTGTTTATATTTCATCAAGTGTAACAGAGTAAATCATCTTCCAAAAATACTATCTGTATTGATGGCAGCTGGCTCTAATTTCTAAATTGTGTCTTTTTCAAAAAATTGTTTCAAGGATTTTGGATATATGGTACTTTATAATACAGTGCCCAGAACATAATAAATCTTCAATGTGTTTTGAAAGATAAATAAATGTATTGCTGAGTTTGTAACAATCCTGCTCATTGAACATCTCAGGATCTCTATTCTGCACAATGACAGATGCTCAGTTGATCATCTCAGTACATGTACTGTATAAATTTTACACTTTGCCCTCTCAGGCTATGGCTGGATTAGGTCTTTACCATCACTGAAGAATAGAAGAGTAAAGGTGAAGCCTGCATTGGGTGATCTATTTCTTTATCTGAAATTTTTCCAATTTTTATTAATGGAAATTATACAAAAATCTCTGCAAATTGTTTGATATTGCAATAGAATTCAGTGCCCAAGACAAAGATGCCCTCTTAATATTTTATCTAGAGGACACTGTACTCAGATATCACAGTGGATTATCTCAGATAGAACCGGGATGTAATGTTATTCTATCTCAGCTCAGCAATTCTAATTCTTGGATGCTAGAAAAGGGCCATAGAGAATGAAATAAAGGAAAATAAAAAGGAAATAATGCCAATGAAGGCGAGATTGTGTTTCTATCTGAGCTAAAACTACAATTAGTCATGCAAAACTGGTGGCCCTCTCTGATGGTGCTGATGTTGACCTTTAATGTGAAGGTGGAACTGTGTGAAAACCAGAGTTCACAGAGAAGAAGACCTGGCTGCATCCACAGGCAGAGCCTTCAGCCAGTCAGGTTTCTGTTCTGGAGGCTGATCTTTGTTGTTCCTGTCACTGGATAATTGTATTGCTGGCTGATTTTTATGATGTACCTGCAGGTCTCATATTCTTAAAAACATAACCTCCTAAAGATTAGTGAATTCAGTTTGGAATTTTGACTCTATAAGATAATGTTTATCATTATTCCTCTATAATAATGGTATAAATTAAAATTACCAATATAGTAAGACTTCAGGAATCCACACTTCATGTTAGTACATCAGCTTTAGAGAGAAAAGGGAGTATTCCAATTATAATGTTTTAAGTAACAATTTTAATAATGTAGATTAATGCTTTTGATTGTCTTTCCACTTTGATGGTTTAGTTAGGGAAAAATATTGCACAAAGTATTCTCTTAAGAAATGATTCCTTGCTGAACTTCCTCACTACACAAAATTACTGTTATATTACAATTTTACATTGGTAATCAAATGCTCTCCCAAATGTCTGAACCTATACTTGAAATTGATCAGCTTCAATAGATGCATCATGGATTTGTCAAACTGTGCTTATTAGAAACAAAGTAATAACTTAAAAACACACACATAAAAAAACCAAAACACCATGCTCAAATCTCTGTATAAATTCACTTCCTACTTCTAAATTGTCTGTCTTCTGTAATAGGAAGTATGATATAAAGAACCCTGATTACTTTAGTTACAATAAGCTCAGTCTCACACTATTTAGTGAGCTCTTTTCTCATCCCCAAATGGGAAATAAATATAAATTGTCAGTTTTTGATACATATTGAATTTTTCATTCATTAACAAATTTTATCTTTGTTGGAATTATTATCTGAATTGAAAGTTTCAGGGCATAAAATAGTGAAAAATTAATCATAATCTTTTTGTACATGGAGTTCACATTCAGTGGATAGATATGGATCTTATTTAAAAAAAATTAGGTAAACTGTCACAGAAAGTCATACAAATATACACTTTTATAATATGAATAATAATACATCCATATAAAAGAAAAAGGCATATTACACATTATATATATATATATATTCATTTCTTTGAACACACACATATACATGTTATGTATATGCATGCATAGAATTCACATTTTGGCACCTGGTGAAGACGTTCCTGCACCCGCTGTCTGACAGGGTCAAAGCGTGGGGGATGCTGCGGCAGGGCCGCACCATCTGGAAACTGGAACTATTAGGAATGTTAAGTGTTTTGTTTTATGATACTCATGATATGGATAATAGGGCATACATCAATCAATACTAAAAGCACATATTGCCCGAGATTGCAGGAAAATTCCCAGAATGAGAGTAAGGATTCAATTGAGACATGCCATGAGATGCATTTCAGTATCTCTCCGGATACAAACAATGGTGTTATCCCTCAAGCCTAAACAACAAGAAATATTTATCCCATGGTTAACAATTTACACTAGCCCCCCCCCAACCCCATCCTAAAGCCACAAATTGTACAACAGCCTAGCTACAGAAAAACAATTGCTGTGCCAACTGTACAAGGACCACCTATGTAGCTTATGGTATCGCCCTCGAGGACAAGAGGCTAATAAAAATACATTCCCCAACCAATAGACCCTCCTTTGCCTTACACAGAAATTTTTGATGAAAATGGAAAGCACATAGTTAATATAAATGACAAATGGGTTGAGGTGTAAAGCCTGCCCTTTAGTTAAAGATTACAAAGACATTGTAATTGGTGTGCTTTGACCAAGTATCAAGGAAGTTCTTTAAGAAAGCAGTTGAATAGGTCATATGAAAAAAGAAAATTTCCTTGGAAATTAAAAATAGAATAATGTAAAATTTACATAGATATATATTTTGGAGGCACTTCAGAGTAGTAGGCTTTTAAATAATAGACTTTCACAACTTTAAGAGTGCTTTACTGGGATTTTAGTTTACAAGTAAGAAAGCTTACCAATAATCATAAGTATGCTTTAAAGTTAAAGGTTAATGAAATAATTTTAGGTATGCTTTAAAGTTAGAAGTGAATAATAGGTTAGGAGTCATGTAGTCTAGTTGTGTCACCTAGCACCTAATGATTGAGGTAAAAACCTAAAAGCTTAATCATCATTAGCTAAGGTTACAGAAAAATATTTTGAACAATGTACTCAATATCTTAGGTAATCAATGTATGTCAGAAAAGATTGTAACTCTTGAAAATTATGTAAATCAAAAAAAGTTTCAGGCTTTGAAGCTGTCCATTAACTACCTGAAAAAACACCTGTAAAAAAGGTATAAAAATAAAGATCACTCCAGGGGCAGCAGACATGTCTTCTGGAGGCTGCTTGTAACTTGCAACCCATCCTCCCGACTCCTCTTCTTTCGCTGTCACTTCTCCTCCTTCAGGACTCCTGGAACCCCACTCCCCCCAACCCACCCCCTGGGGCTGGACCTCAGCAGGCACCCTCTGTTAAATCCACTCCCTGAAACTAACCATGGAAAATGAAAGATTTCACAGCATTACCTGTGACTTGCAACTTCCTGTTCTATTCCCTGATACTTGTTGTTTTTTCTCCCACAGGATTTGTGCATCTGATTGGAGGACATGGACCTTGCTCCGGGCGAGTGGAAGTGAATTCTGGAGGAGAGTGGATTCCAGTATCTGATGGGAATTTCACATTACCCACAGCCCAGGTCATCTGTGCAGAGCTGGGGTGTGGCAAGGCTACATTTGTCCTGGGGAACCTGCCCTTCAGAGAGCCTGGTGAACAGGTCTGGGCTGAAGAGTTCCAGTGTACGGGACAGGAACCTGGGCTCTGGTTTTGCCCCAGAGTGCCCTGTCCTGGAGGCAGCTGCCTACACAGAGGGGCTGTGCAAGTTGTCTGCTCAGGTGAGACTCACAGCTGGACCTTAACCTCTCTATGCACTCTGTGGGGATAAGAAAAATATGTGATGTTGCTAAACCCTGTTTTCTACCAGGATATACAGATGTTCGGCTCATGAAAAATGGGAGCTCTCAGTGTGAGGGTCAAGTGGAGATGAAGACCTCTGGAGGCTGGAGAACACTCTGTGCCTCCAACTGGAATATGGCCAATGCCAATGTAGTTTGCCGTCAGCTGGGCTGTGGAGTCGCCATCTCCACCCCAAAGGGAGCATACTTTGTGGAAGGAGGAGATGAGATCTGGAGAGACCAATTCCACTGCTCAGGGTCTGAGTCCTTCCTGTGGAATTGCCCTGTGACTGCCCTGGGTGTTCCTGCCTGTGCCCATGGAAACACAGCCTCTGTGGTCTGTTCAGGTAAGTTGTCTGCTTAGGTGAGATTCACAGCAGGACCTTAACCTCCCTACACACTCTATGGGGGTAAGGAAAATGTGGGATGTTGATAAACCCTGTCTTCTATCAGGATATACAGATGTTTGGCTCGTGAAAAATGGTCAGGACTGATTTGTACTTGAGTAACATGTCTCTAAGAGCAGATAGTGTGAGTTCAGAAGTGAGACATTCTGTTGTAAAATATGATTCTTCTCAATTATCATTCATCTTTCAGGCCCTGTCAAGGGGTATTATGAGGAATAGTTTTAAGTAAGCATTATTATTATTAGTATTAGTATTGTTATTGCAATTCATAGAGAACACTGTATAATAAGAGTAATAGCTCTGTCAAGTTTCTCACCCTGGGCCATCAGAGATAATCAGCTGCTCCCAGAAGTCACCTGCAGATGCTTCAGTCACTGTGCCTTCCTCCCTTCCAAAGAAGACCACTCTAAATGCTGCCAAAGATAATTTTTGTCAGGATTTGAGCTTTATGTAAAGTCATAGCATGTTTTCTATTTATGTCTACTTTGACTCAACATAATATTTAGAATTTATCCATGTTTTTATTTTTAGCCTAATCTCATTTATTTTTACAACTGTAGAGTTTTCTGTCAAATAACACAGGATCATGTATTGATCCATTCAAGTTATGTGGAGATTTGAGTAGTTTGCACTTTTTGAGTGCCCAAATAATGATCCTACAAATTACCATGTCAATATCTTTTGGTGCAAATATGGATATATTTGTATATGGTTTTTAATCCAGGACCCTCTCCTGTTATGGTGTTCTTTCTGCAGCCAAATTCTTGTTCTTAATGAAGCATAGTGTATCAATATTTCCTGTACACTTAGTATTCTACTGCCCTTTTAAATAGAACTTTACTACCATAAGATCATAAAAAATATTCTCCAAAAGTATCATATAGAAGTTTAGTTACATTTCTTTTACATCTTTCTGTGGTTGATATTGTACATATGTTGTGTGGTGTGAAAAACCTTTCATATTGTTGTTTGGACATCTAAATGTCTCAGAATCATTACTGAAAAGCTTTTTCCCCACTGCTGTGTCACCTTTGAAATACACAGTGTGCAGATATTTCTGATCATGCTCTATGTTATGTTCTGTTCCATTTAGTCATTTTTTATGCTTGTAGCCATGCATGCCTCATTAATTATAACTTTATAGCATTTCTGACTAATATTTTAAAAGATTACTTTAGAGCAACTGCTCTAATTGTGTTATTTTTTCTGCCCAGTGCATTGGTCATACTTAGTCTTATGCATTTCACATAAATTTTACAAACAGCTTGATATGTTTAATTCAATAATAGCATGATGGTATTTATATTGAGTTTGAATTTGATGTAAACATCAATATAGAGCTAACTGACTTGCAAGGTATATCTCTAATTTCTCTCAGAGATTGTAGATAACTCTTACTAGGCATACTTTTGGTGTTTTAGGTTGATGCTATTATATGTGTTTTTTTTAATGAAATGTCCTAGAAATTAATTCTATTCATGTTTTAGTCAGCTTTTTTTTTGTGTTGTGATAGAAAGACCTGACAAGACCAATTTTAGGAGAAAAAATTTATTTTGAAGTCCAAGGTTTCAGAGGTCTCTCTCCATAGATATCCTACTCCATTTCATGGAGCTGGAGGTAAGGCAGAATATCATGGTGGAAGAGTGAAGCAGGGGAAAGAGGTCAGCAGATGGCCACCAAGAAGCAGAAATAGGGAGAACTCTTCTCAAAAAGGACAAAATATAAACCCCAAAGGCCCGCCCCCAGGGATCCATCTCATCCAGATACACCCTACCTGCCTATACTCAACACCTAGTTAATACTATTAGAGTATTAATGTGCCAATTAGATTAAGGGTCTCATAACCCAATCATTCCACTTTTAAACTTTCTTTCATTATCTCTCACATGAGCTTTTAGGGGACACTCTCTCTCTAAACCATAACTACTAAGTTTCATCTTAACATTTTTGTGGCTTTGTTTTTCTATTTTCTCATTTATTTACTTATTTGATTAGTTGAGAATTCTGACTAAACTTCAAAGATAGTATATAATTCCCAGATAATCCTAATGAAGATTCCCCAATGCTATTATTTTTCTATAGTATCCCTTCATTCTGCCACATTTATCCCTGAATATATAAAATATTTCTGAGTGAATAGTAGGTGGATAAGATGATGTGTCCATTTACTCTTAAAATATTTTCAAGAATTTTTTTTACATAACCACGGTGCATTGCCAAATTCCATAAATTAACCTGTTGGCTTCCATATGTGATGGAGAACATGTTGTACTTGTCTTTCTGTATCTTGGTTATTTAACTTAACATAATGTCCTACAATTTCATCAATTTGATGCAAATGGCAGGATTTCCTTCTTCTTTATGACTATATTGATACCACATTTTCTTTATGAATTTCTCTTGTAATGGACATCATATTCCATACTGTAGCTTCTGCTTTCATACTGTAGCTATTGTGAATAATGCCACAATAAATATGGGAACATAGGATTGCTGTTTCATAGTAAATATAATTGTCCTAGGTGCTACTGCTTATAATAATCCATCCTTGCAAAAAATAGCAACACAAATAAAAAATATATTTGATTTTGTCCATCATTTCCAGATTCATAAATTTGGCAAAAGCTGTTGGAAGTTCCCTCTTGAAGTCTCTCATAAAGTTGCACTTAGATCTCATCTGGAGCTGAGGTCATTGAAGACTTGACCAAAATGGAAATCCATCTTGGATAGTTCATTCACATGGCCAGAGGCTTGAAGTTCAACTGGGGCTGCTGACAGAGCCACCTGCAAATGCTTTCTCCCACACCATAGTTCTCTACTGATAGTCTCTACATGTTTCCCATGAAGCAAACATCCTACTAAGTCAAACATCCATTTGCATCAAATGGATGCAATTTCTGACCTAAATTTTACTAGGGTACACCCAGGGAAATGTGGCAAACATGAGGAGGAGGCTTGACTTTCTTAGCTAGGTTCCTAAGTCAAGCTGTGCTGGCTTCACCACATTCTATTGCTTATAGACAACTCACCACTGTCAGCCCAGATTGGAGGGAAGGAGGAATGAACTGCACAGGTCAATGGATAGAGTGTCACAGATTTTGTGGGTATTTTAAAAAATGACAGGTGTGTTAAATAATCCACTTTTTATATTTTCTATTTATTTATTTATTTTTTATTAGCTACACATGACAGTACATTGATCTTGACATATACATTTGAATCAAATAGGGTATAATTTCTCATTTTTCTGAGTGTATAGGTTGCAGAATCACATTGGTCATACTGTCATGTATATGCATACAGCAAAACTAGTGTCTATTTTATTCTGCTGCCCTTCCTATCCTCCCTCCCTTCCCCTCCCCTCCCATCACTTCTCTCTACCCAATCTAATGTGATACACTTCTTTTTTTTTCCCCCCTCACATCATCATGCATGTATTCTGTATAACAATGAGAGTCTCCTTCCATGGGATAGGGAGGAAGAGCATGAGAAGAAGATTACCACTAAATAGCGAAGAGAGGTGGGAGGGAAAGGGAGGGAGAAGGGGAAGTGCTCGGAAGATGTATTTTCTAGTTTATACTTTTACACTACCACTTATGGCCTTAATACCTAAAACTTGTAAAGTATATAGGAATGTGAGGTTCTCTCACTATGGCTCTTAGTATCCTATTATATTTCCTATGTTTTTGTTTTTCTGTTTTTCATTCTACATTTTCCCATGATCTTTTCTCACCCACGTCCTGCACAGGTGATGGAAATGGGGTTCCCCTCAGTGGAATGGGCTGGCTGAGAAACAAAAACTAGGAAAAATAGAAGGATAAAAATACCACAGGACACAGAAAATATATTCAGAAAGCAGGGGCAGGATAGACTAGACAATCATATGGATCAAGCTTCTATACTAAAAAGAAAAATGGAGCCTGAACCTGCTTTATTTATATTGGGGGATATCAAGGGTCTTCCATAGAATGTTCTTCTCCATAAAAGGTTAAAAAGGTGGGCTATTCAATTCCCAGTGGGTTATGCCCATCTCTGGAGTGACCCTGAGAGATCTTCCTGGCAATGCAAAGATAAAGGTCATGTGCCTTGGGAAATCTATTGCATGAGAGGGCCATGGATATTCCCAAGGTTAAACCTAAAATTTCCCTGGCTTCCTGCCTAGAGAAGATCCACATGTGTTTTTCATAGATTGCTCCCTGAGTTATTCCACTTACTATTTCTACTTTGTGCTAACCTGCAGTGTTGTTAGACTCATCCTCTGGCTTCTTATTTTTAGCCTCTGACTTTTTATTGGTTCTATTTCATTAGTTCTTTTTATAAACGACTCTCAAAAATCCAATATTTATTGGATTTTTATTATCATTTTTCTAACAAAATGCATATCATGTCATTAAATTTACAAAATTTAATCATGATTATTTCAATTACCTATAAGGAAACACCGATACCACTCTCTGAAAATCTTTCTTTTGTCTCCTTTCTGCACTTTGTTTTCTATGGAAACCTTTTTATATATGTGGGGGTTTCTTTGATGGACAAAACTTGTATTTGAAAAAAATCCATCCTATAAAACCTTCAGAAAAGATTTTACTTTCTTCAATGCACTTTATTTAGGGTAGGTCATATTATACAAAGAGACTGAAATGGTGAGAAACTGGGCACTCCTCCCTATGACAAAAATTCTTTTAATTCACAAGTTTTCTGGATGTTTAGGAGGATTCTCCTCTTTTGTCTGACCTAAATTTTACTAGGGTATACCCAGGGAAATGTGGCAAACATGCTGAGATTTTTCAGTCTTAACTACTACCTTTGAATGGTTAAATGCCTTCAAGGGAAAATAGTTGATTCTAGTTTTTACGTTTCTCTGAACTTGACTCCAAAAGTCTTCCTTCCCTGGGAGCTATGCAATGCTCTCAAACAGTAATGATATATTCACACTTTCCTAAAGTAATTCTTGGGTCATGGTTTAAAAACAGAAGAGTATGTCAGAAGTAGAAGCAGAAATCTGGAATAGACAATCAGCTCTGAAGATAGAAAATTACTGATCATATCCTACACCTTTCTGATGCCATCACCAGATTATTATGTACTTTATTTTTTAATTTTTTCTGTGAAATATTTTCTCAACTTTTTTAGTTTTATTGATTTTATTTTTTTAAATACATGATAGCAGAATGCATTACAATTCTTATTATACATATACAGTACAATTTTTCATATCTTTGTATATAGAGTATGTTCACGCCAATTCATGCCTTTATACATGTACTTCGTTTTTTTTTTTTTGTATTACAATTCTTAATACACATATATACCACAATTTTTCATATCTGTTTATATAGAAAGTATGTTGACACCCAATTTGAGTCTTCATACATGTACTTTGGATAATGATGTCTATCACATTCCACACCCTTGCTAATCCCCTGGCCCCTCCTTTTCCCTCCCTATTTAGAATTCATCTAATCCTCCCATGCTTCCCCTACCCCACTATGAGTCAGCTTCCTTATATCAGAGAAAATATTCAGCATTTGTTTTTTGGGGATTGGCTAATTTCACTTAGCATTATCTTCTTCAAAGCCATCCATTTACCTGCAAATGCCATGATTTTATTCTCTTAATGCTGAGTAAAATTTCATTGTGTATATTTGCCACATTTTTTTTTTTAGCCATTCATCCGCTGCAGGGCATCTAGGTTGGCTCCAAAGTTTAGCTATTGTGAATTGTACTGCTATAAACAACACCATTTGACTCAGCTATCCCTCTCCTTGGACTATAACCAAAGGACTTATTATGTACTTTAATTCAGTTTCCTGCTCTCTAATCTCTTCTGTAGGAAACCAGACCCAGCTGCTGACCCAGTGTAAGAACTCCTGGTCAGACCCAGCAGACTCTGCAGCCTCAGAGGACCACACTGCCAACTGCTCAGGTGAGCAAGGCCCCCAGAACCAGAGCCTCCCCATCCCCTGTGTAAATGCCCACTGACATGACCCTGTCTCTCCTCAGACAGCAGACAGCTCCGCCTGGTGGACGGGGGCAGTCACTGCGCAGGGAGAGTGGAGATCCTGCAGCAGGGCTCCTGGGGCTCTATCTGTGATGACAGCTGGGACCTGAATAATGCAGATGTGGTGTGCAGACAGCTGGGCTGTGGAGTAGCCCTGAAGGTCACCGTCTCTGCTCACTTTGGAGAGGGATCAGGGCCTATCTGGCTGGATGAGCTGAACTGCACAGGAGAGGAGGCCCATGTGTGGCAGTGCCCTTCCCAGGGCTGGGGGCAGCACAACTGCAGTCACAAGGAGGATGCTGGGGTCATCTGCTCAGGTTTGTGGTGCACACTGTGCACAGGTGGGGGAGGGCAGGAGAAGGTCTGCAGGATGGTGTTTGAGTCCTAGGGCAGGGATTTAGCAGTTGCTGACAGGGAAAAGAGGGAGGCTCACAGTTCCTGTCCCGGCAGCAAAAGAGAAGATGAGGTATTTCTATTTTCTGCTGCAGCAGCTGAGCTTCTGCTTCTTCCATCTCATCACTGTCCCCTGACACAGTCATTCTCTCAGTGTCCATTTAAAGCAGTCATCACTGTTCTTTGACACGTGGGTGAATCATCCTGACCCACTGAATTAATTTTCTATTTCTGCTGTAACAAGTCACCATAGACTGAATGACTCAAATCAACACAAATTTGTCATCTTACAGTGTGTAGGTGAGAACCTGACCTGGGTCTCTCTGGGATATAAACGAGGTTTCAGTAGGCTGAAACAGCTAAAACTCAGAAAGACTCAGTTTCTTGCCTTTTTCACCTTCTAGAAGTTGCCTGAATTCCTTGTTTGACCCCTTCCTTCTTCAAAACCAAGACTTCTCAACCCTCTCATAATTCTATATTCACATCTCCCTCTGATGAGGGCCAGAAAGACTTATCTATTTTTGCGGATACAGTGTAAGGATGTCACTAGATTGGGCACATCCTATTTAGGATTCTCCAGGATAATCTCACAGTGGAAAAATTTTTTTTTTTTTTTTTTTTTTTTTTTTTGGTACTGGGATTAAACCCAAAGGACTCAAAAACTGAGCCACAGCCACAGCCCTTTTATTTATTTTTTACTTTGAGACAGGGTCACATTAAGTTGCATAGAGCCTCACTGAGTTGCTGAGGCTAGCTTTGAACATTGGATGCTTCTGCTTCAGTTTCCAAGAAACAGTCATCTCCCACTGTGCCTAGAGAACGGATCCTTTTCTTCATCTTGTCTGAAAAGCCCTTTTGCAATGTGAGGTAAAATATCCACTGGCTCTCAGGATCAGGAAGTAGACATATTTGGAGCTCCACTATTCTGCCACCCTAAAGTGGCAATCCCTTTCTCCACTGAAAAGTCTTAACTGGGCCTCTCCAGAAATCTTCACCCAGACTGATTTTAGAACTGTCAGCAAAAGAGTCTCGCAAAAGAGTTCAATGTAGATAAACTTCCTATTTTCGTGTCACCCTGTTTACTTGGCTACTGGCTGAGAAGATACCAGCACTCTAGGTGCTGGACACCCCCTTACTAGTGTTTCACAAACATATCCAGTATAGTTCTTTGAAGAAGTGTGCAAGCAAGGCCTCTGGCCTTGAGCTGGGGCTTCACAGAGATGTCTATATTTTTAAGATAAGTTACAACTGGGCTCCATGGTAACAGCTGGCAGGAGGAGAAAAGAAAGGGGAGAAGAAGATATCCTCTTCTCAGGTATTGTCCTTGAAGGTTATCTTGCCCAAAACAGTGAAAGAAAAAGTTGCTTTTATGTGAACTTCTGCAGACTGTGAACTTCTGAGCTCCTCCCCTTACATGCTGGGTATAAAATTCTGAAACTCCCTGAATTCGGGAGCAAAAGCTGTGCCCTCTGAACCTGGCTGCAGCCAAATACACTGTTTCCTGCTATCTTTGGTGCCTTACCTTATTTGTCCCTACAACAAACACTCTGTTAATGCTCCTTTTCTAGGATCTGTCATATGATTAATCAGATAGTAGATGAATATAGATAGATGGCAGATAGTAGATAAAGATAGTAGATACTTTCTGCAGAATAAACACCCACATCAGTGTTCCTGCCTATGCATTTGCTAATATTACATTGTTGTAGAAACAGAAATAGAGATACAAGTTACCAAAAAGAATTAAAGTGAAAAAAAATTTCAGTCTTCCACCTAGTGGGCACTTGTTCATCAGAATCAGCAATGAGTACTCACTACATAGGAATGAAGAAAAAATAGCAGTTACAGTTTAATGCTCACCCGTGCCCTGTTTTCCTCCTCTTGCTTTTAGAGTTCCTGGACCTCAGGCTGGTGAGCGAGGACCAGGAGTGTGCTGGGTGGCTGGAAGTTTTCTACAACAACACCTGGGGCAGCATCTGCAACAGCCCTATGGAACCCATGACTTTGTCCATGATCTGTAGACAGCTTGGCTGTGGGGACACTGGGACCCTAGATTTCTTGGTTCCTCCCAGGGAAGGTTCTAGACCCCGCTGGGTGGATAAAATCCACTGTCGGGAAACTGATACCTCTCTCTAGCAGTGTCCTTCTGACTCCTGGAAACACCAATCTTGCTCTGCAAAGGAGGAAGCTCATATCACATGTACAGGTGACCTACTGTCTATTTCTGTGTGTTTGCCATATGCCTGTAGGTTGTTATTAAGAAAGTTTCACATATTTAAACATAATGGATGAGTTGAAATAAGTCTACAAAATGAAAACTAGATGGAGATTACTTGATCCAACCTGTTGTACTTCTGTTTCAAAGGCAGACATAAGGAAACCATTGATAATAGCAATTTATGTGAAAAGAACCAGAGACTGAACTGAGAATATGGGAGCATGAAGTTATACTCTGATGAACATTCTTAGCAATTAGCTCATGCAGTATTAAGTTATATCAATTAAACTGTATTTCCTTAGTGATAGGATGAATGATTGGACCTCAATTGTGCACATTGCTTGCTATGTGGTATCACTTTGTTCCTACACTCCCACCCCACCACAGGCTTAATTGCCACTATTATCTGATGATAGGTAACACAGTAAGCATTTATCTCAGATGAAGAAACAGAGGTTAGGAGTAACATTTCATCTCTCTCACACTTTCAAGTGAATGGGGGAGCAATTTGGAGAATCAAATATATTGAGCTGTTTACTCTGAAATCCATCTACACCATACAGACAACCTCTCAGGTCACTTTGTTGATGGAAAGAAATCAAGTGATTTGTAGGTAGAAACTTAATTCCAGGCAGGAAGACAGACACAGAAAGAAAACACCACCACTGTCTTCGTGGATTTTCCACTCCCAACTGACAACACAACCATGCATAAATTTGAGTGTCATGAAGGTGCTATGGAAATGTGTGAATTGGGGAAAAGAGAAATCATGTTTAGTTTGATAACTGAAGGAGGAGTAGAGGTCTAATGAAAGAAGGAAGTAGACTATTTATCAATGTAAATACTGCGGTGAGAGGAGTATAGTGAAGTGACCTTGAGATATTGATAAAGTCTCATCATAAGCAGAACAAGAAGAGGGTTGGGGGAGAGATGCATGATTACCTGGATGGGTAAGAAGAGCTAGAAGTCTCTCCAAGGCATGGCCCCAATAACAATTCTGCTGAAAAGCTGTTTGTTAATCTTCTCATCTCAACATTATGGGGAATTTCTATGAGATGGGGGGGTGGGGCTTCTTTTGTTTTCTTCTTGGATTTATCTCCTCATAGTCCCAGTGGTCTTTGTTGATACTACTTCCTCACCTTTATCCATATCCTACTGGAAATTAATATGGCACTTCATCCCTCTCCCAGAAAACATTCCATGGGGTCTTTTGGAAATTGGAGGCTATTATCTTCTAATTTCTTTTTAAAATTATTATTTATATATGATAGCAGAATGTATTACAATTCTTATTACATATAAAGAGCACAATTTTTTCATATCTCTGGTGATATACAAACTATATTCACACCAATTTGTGTCTTCATACATATACTTTGGATAATAATGATCATAACATTTCACCATCATTTATAACTCCATGCCCCCTCCCTTTCCTCCCACTTCCGTGTTTGTCTATTTGTCTAGAGTTTGTCTATTTCTCCCATGCTCCCTTTCCCTATCTCACTATGAATCAGCCTCATTATATCAATTAAAACATTAGGCATTTGGGATTGGCTAACTTCACTTAGCATTATTTTCTCTAACTCCATCCATTTACCTGCAAATGCCATGATTTTATTCTCTTTTATTGCTGAGTAATATTCCATTGTGTATATATGCATATTTTTTTATTCATTCATCTATTGAAGGGCATCTAGGTTGCTTCCACTGCTTAGCTATTGTGAATTGTGCTGCAATAAACATTGATGTGGCTGTGTCCCTCTATGCTATTTTTAAGTCCTTTGGGTATAGATCAAGGAGAGGGATAGCTGGGTCAAATGGTGGTTCCATTACCAATTTTCCAAGAAATCTCCTTACTGCTTTCCATATTGGCTGTAACAATTTTCAGTCCCACCAGCGGTGTATGAATGTACCCTTTTCCCCACATCTTGCCAATACTTATTGTTGTTTGTATTCATAATAGCTGTCATTCTGATTGGAGGGAGATGAAATCTTAGAGTGGTTTTGATTTGCATTTCTCTAATTGCTAGCAATGATAAACATTTTTTCATTATTTGTTGATTGATTGTGTATCATCTTCTGAGAAGTGTCTGTTCATGTCCTTGGCCCATTTATTGATGGGGTTATTTGTAATTTTTGGTGCTTAGCTTTTTGAGTTCTTTATATACTCTAGAGATTAGGGCTCTGATGTGTGAGGGGTAAAGATTTGCTCCCAAGATGTAGGCTGTCTGCTCACCTTACAGATTGTTTCTTTTGCTGAGAAGAAACTTTTTTAGTTTGAGTCCATCCCATTTATTGATTCTTGATTTTAAATCTTGCTTTATAGGAGTCTTATTAAGAAAGTTGGGGTCCCAATTTCATATGATGGAGATTAGGGCCTACTTTTTCTTCTATTAGATGCAGATTCTCTGGTTGTATTTCTAAGTTCTTGATCCATTTTGAGTTGAGTTTTGTGCATGGTGACAGGTATGAGTTTAATTTGTTGCATATGGATTTCCAGTTTTCCCAGCACCATTTGTTGAAGAGGCTATCTTTTATCCAATGCATCTTCTTGGCAACTTTGTCTAATATAAGATAATTGTAGTTTTGTGGGTTAGTCTCTGTGTCCTCTATTCTGTACCATTGGTCTACCAGTCTGTTTTGGTGCCAATATTATGCTGTTTTTGTTACTGTTGCTCTGTAGTATAGTTTAAGGTCTAATATAGTGATGTCACCTGCTTCACTCTTCCTGCTAAGGATTGCTTTATCTCTTCTGAGTCTCTTATTTTTCCACATGAATTTCATGATTGCTTTTTCTATTTCCATGAGGAATGCCATTGGAATTTTGATTGGAATTGCATTAAATCTGTATAGTGCTTTTGGAAGTCTGGTGATTTTGACAATATTAATTCTGTCTATACAAGAGCAAGGTAGATCTTTCCATCTTCTAAGGTCTTCTTTGATTTCTGTTTTTAGGGTTCTGTAATTTTCATTATATAGATATTTCACCTCTTTTATTAAGCTGAGTTCCAAGTATTTTATTTTATTTTTTTTGGGGGGGGTATTGAAAATGGGGTGGTTTTCCTCATTTCCCATTCTGAGGATTTGTCACTGATATACAGAAATGCCTTAGATCTATGGGTGTTGATTTTATATCCTGATACTTTGCTGAATTTATTTAATAGTTATAGAAGTTTTCTGGTAGAACTTTTAGGGTCTTTCAGGTATAGAATCCTATCATCAACAAATTGTGCCAATTTAAGTTCTTCTTTTCCTATATGTATGCCTTTAATTTCTTTCATCCGTCTAAGTGCTCTGGCCAGTGTTTCAAGAACTATGTTAAATAGCAGTGCTGAAAGAGGGCATCCCTGTCTTATTCCAGTTTTCAGAGGGAATGCCTTCAATTTTTTTTCTCTATTTAGAATGATATTGGTCTGGGGCTTAGCATAGATAGCCTTTATGATGTTTAGATATGTTCCTATGATCCCTAGTTTTTCTAGAGTTTTGAACATAAAGAGGTGCTGTATTTTGTCAAATTCTTTTTCTGCATCTATTGAGATGATTATATGATTCTTATCTTTAAATCTATTAATGTGATGAATTACATTTTTTAATTTCCATATGTTGAACCAACCTTGCATCCCTGGGATGAATCCTACTTGATTGTGGTGCATGATCTTTCTGATATGTTTTTATATTTGATTTGCCAGAATTTTATTGAGAATTTTTGTATCTATGTTCATTAGGGATATAGATTTCTTTTTTTGATGTATCTTTGCCTGGGTTTGGAATCAGAGTGGTATTGGCCTCATAAAATGAGTTTGGAAGTGTTTCCTCTTTTTCTATTTCCTGAAATAAGTTGGAGAGTATTGGTATTAGTTCTTCTTTAAAAGTCTTGTAGTTTTCATCTGTGCACCCATCCAGTCTTGGGCTTTTCTTGGTTGGTAGACTTTTGATGGTGTCTGATATTTCATCACTTAAATTAATCTGTTTAAATTATGTATATTATCCTGAAATTTGGGCAAAATATATGACTCTAAGAAATTTGTTGACACCTTCAATATTTTCTATTTTATTGGAGTACAGGTTTTCAAAATAATTTCTAATTATCTTCTGTATTTCTGTATTGTCTGTTGTAATATTTCCTTTTTCATCATGTTATGTTAGTGATTTGAGTTTTCTCTCTCCTTCACTACATCAGCATGGCTAAGGGTCTGTAAATTTTAATTATTTTTTTCAAAGAACCAACTTTTTGTTCTGTCAATTTTTTCAGTTGTTTGTTTTGTTTCAATTTTATTGATTTCAGATGTGATTTTAATTATTTCCTGTCTTTTACTGCTTTTGGCGCTGATTTGTTCTTCTTTTTCTAGGGCTTTGAGATGTAGTGTTAAGTCATTTATTTGTTGACTTTTTCTTCTTTTAAGGAATCAACTCCATGCAATGAACTTTCCTCTTAGAACTGCTTTCATAGTGTCCCAGAGATTTTGATATGTTATATCTGTGTTCTCATTCACCTCTAAAAACATTTTAATCTCCTCCTTTATGTCTTCTCTAACACATTGTTCCTTCATTAGCATATTATTTGGTCTCCAGGTGTTGGAGTGGATATTATTTCTTATTTTATCACTGATTTCTAATTTCATTCCATTATGATCTGATAGAAGGCAGGGTAGTATCTCTACTTTTTTATATTTGCTAAGAGTTCCTTTGTTACATAGCATATGGTCTATTTTAGAGAAGGATCCATGTGCTGCTGAGAAGAAAGTGTATTCTCTCATTACAGGTTGGAATATTCTATATATGTCAGTTAAGCCCAAGTTATTATTGTATTATTGAGTTCTATAATTTATTTGTTCAGCTTTTGTTTGGAAGATCTATTGAGTGATGAAAGATGTGTGTTAACATAACCCAAATTTATTACATTGTTATTTGTTTGACTCTTGAACTTGAGAAGAGTTTGTTTGATAAATGTAGGTGATCCATTATTTGGGGCATATATTTTTATATTTGTTAAGTCTTGTTGGTGTATCATTTCCTTGAGAGTATATAGTGTCCTTCTTTATCCTTTTAAACTGACTTTACTTTGAAGTCTATTTGATATGAGGATGGAAACCCCTGCTTACTTTCGCAGTCCATGTGAGTGGTATAATTTTTTGCAACCATTTACCTTCAGTCTGTGGATCTCTTTTTCTATGAGATGAATCTCTTGGAGGCAGCAATTTTTTGATTTTTTTTTTTTTTTTTTTTTTTGATCCAATTTGCTAGTCTATGTCTTTTGATTGGTGAGTTTAGGCCATTAATCTTCAAGGTTATTATTGAGATATGGTTTGTATTCCCAGCCATTTTTGTTTATTTTTAATATTTAATGTGACTTGGTTTCTCCTCTGATTAGATTGTCCTTTAGTGTAATTCCTCCCTTTGCTGATTTTCATCTTTGTTTTTCATTTCCTCTTCTTGGAATATTTTGCTGAGGATTTTCTCTAGTGCAGGCTTTCTAGTTGTAAATTATTTTAACTTTTGTTTATCATTGAAAGTTTTTATTTCATCATCAAATCTAAAGCTTAGTTTTGCTGGATATAAAATTCTTGGTTGGCATCCATTTTCTTTCAGAGCTTGGTATATGTTATTCCACAATCTTTTGGCTTCAAGGGTCTGGGTTGAAAAATCTGCTGCAATAAGAATTAGTCTCCCCCTATATGTGGTCTGATTTCTCTATCTTGTGGCTTTTAAGATTCTATCCTTATTCTGTATGGTAGGCATTTTCATTATAATTTGCCTTGGTGTAGATTTGTTGTAATTTTGTATATTTGCTGTTCTGAGCACCTCTTTATTTTGTTTCCCAATTTGTTCTTCATGCTTCGGAAATTTTTTGATATTATCTCATTGAAGAGATTGTGCATTCTTTTGATTTGAAATCTGTGCCTTCCTGTATCCCAATATCTCTTAGATTTGGTCTTTTGATGCTGTCCCATTATTCTTGGATGCTCTGCTCAAGGTTTCTAACTTTCTTCATTGTGTGATCAACTTTATTTTGCAGATTGTATACTTAGTCTTTATTATCTGACGTTCTTTCTTCCAAGTGATCTAGTCTGTTGGTTATACTTTCTATTGAGTTTTTTATTTGATTTATTGTATTCTTCATTTAAAGGATTTCTGACTGTTTTTTTCAGAGTCTCTCTCTCTCTCTCTCTCTCGAAGTAATCTTTTGCTACCTGTATTTGCTTTCTTATCATTGTTGTAATTATCATTTTTGACTGTATTTGCTCATTTAGGTCATTATTTAATTCACAAATCATTTTACTTATGAATCTTCTGAACTCCTTCTCTGACATTTCATCAACTTCTCTGTCCATGGATTATTATAATGTTTTGGTTTGTTTGGGGCATTTTCTCCCTTGTTTTTTTATGTTGTCTATGTGTCTTCCTTTCTTACAGTGTGGATATGAGATATTACTGTTTCTTTCGTATATTCTTGTAGTACCCATGCAGATTGTCTTACCTCACCTTGATATTGGACATCTATACCCTGATGGCATCCCTCAATGAATGCTACTGCATCCTGGATCTAGGTCCTGTGTAAATTGGAGTGGGTGGATATGGTCCGCTGGACTTGACCTTCCTCAATACTCTTTTGGTTGGAAGGGGCTTTCCTGCACAAGAGACTAGGCTCTGGCAGGTGTCTGCCCTGCTGGGGGAAGGGTGGACTGAGCCTTCTGTGAGCCTGGGACCCACATAGGCCAGTGTGGATGGATCTGGGCCACAAGTCTTGACCTCCCGTGGTAGTCTGCTGGTCTGAAAGGTAATTTCTTAAGACCTATAATGTTCCTTTAATTTCTTGTTCTGATAAAACCATGGCTGTCCTCTGAAAACAATAATGCCCTCATAATTTGGAGGCTCTATTCTTTCAACATGCTTTTTTATAAGGTCAAATCTTAAAATAAGATTGTGTTCTGTTATTAGAATATTTCTCGTGTGCCTTGAAATTTTCAACAATTTTTTTTCTTTTCCTTCATGTCCAGTTACTTGAAAATTTGCCCTATGAGGTGACACCATTTACCACTTCTGTTGTTGTCACTCTCCAGTTTAACCACTCCCCTTGTTCAGGATGGCTATAGTATCAGGCTCACCAGGCTCCTCTGTCTCCTGTTCCTGGTGCTCCAGTATCCTTGAACACAACTGAGATAACATCCTGGACTCTCTATTCCCGACTTTCTCCCTTTGAGGCACTCTACTCCCTCCCACCCCATCTCTGTGTATGGTCACACTATTGATCACTAACTGTCCAGCTTGAGTCCTTGATTGCATTGTTCCTTCTCTGACTGTTGCCCCTTCTCCTTATATTGTACTAGTCTTAATACTCCCATTCCAGATATTTCATCCTCATGCAGATTCCAAATGTTTTTCCTTATCAGGTTTTCATTTTTCCACTCTCCTCATGATTGCAGATGTTCTTCTTACCCTGATCAGACAACATGACGCTGCATTATAATCCTCCCCCTTCAAGTACACTCAATTCCCTTCTCTCTTCTTTAACTGTCAATGGCAAGAGTGGTTATTCAAATATCTAGCTCTTCCCTGCCTGCACTAGTTGAGGCAAGGACTGCTAAATCATGGACAAGTACTGTATTTTGTTATGGTATGAAATTATCCTGATAGTCTCTTTGAGTTTGTGATCAACCTCTGTCAAACTATCCACAATGGCCCTCTATTCTAATGTGCTTCTCTCACATGTGTTCTTGCCCTCTCTGGAACATGTTATTTTACAAATTCTCAGATCTCCCTCATGCTGATATTTTAACCCCACCATACACTTAAATGATGACATCACCTCAAATATCCCTGGAAAATAGAAACCTTCAGATGTCTTCTTTGTTTTTTCCTCAAAGTCACTCTACCTTATTGGTTGTTCTTATTCTGTCTTATAGGTTTGCTATCTCTCTGTTCCCCTTATAAATTTTAGACACATTCTTGGTTGAACCTCAGACTATCTACTCTTAGAATATACTCCCCAGATGTATATTCTAAATATGTTGAATGGAATTTTCTGTAGATATATGCTAAGTACAGTTGATTTTTAATTTTAGTGTAACTATGATGTGTGCTTGTTGATATTTTCTGTGCATGCCAAATCTATTAGTGAGATGCGATATTAAGATACCACTAGTATTGTACTGAAGTTTGTTTTTTCCATTATGTCCCATGGGTGTTTTTTTTTAAATAAAATTCTGTGTTCCTTTCTTTGGTGCATATATATTTATAATTATTATATCTTATCTTCTTGATGGTGTTTTCTACTAATACGCAGTGACCTTCTATGTCTCTTCTGACTGATTTTTGGAGTGTGTTTTTCATCTATGAATACAGTTACTTCTGTTTGCTCTCAGGTTTCATTTGCTTGCAATTTTACTTTTAATAATTTTCTTCTCAGTCTACATATGTCTTTGCCTATGTGGTGAGTTTCTTGCAGCTACCAATTTGTTGGTTCTTGATTTTTAATGCAGGTATCCAGGCTGCATCTTTTAATTTGAAAAGCAGACCACTGATTCTCAGAGTTATATTTGAAAGGTTTTTAGAAATGCCTGTGATTTTTTTTTTTCTGGACGGTTTGAATAATCTGTGGTCATGTTTTTCTCCCTTATTTGTCTTGGAGCTGGATTGATTTACTGAATTGATAATGTTTGATTCTTTCCTTTTTCTCACTTTTTTATCTGCTCTTCTAGTGAGATTTATTCTTTCCTATGATCTCATGGCTAGGTTGTCTTGCTTCCTATTCTGTGTGTAGGATTGCTTCATTATCTTCCACTTTGCAGGATCAGTGGTTCAAAATTCCTTTCACTGATGCTTATCTTCAAAAGACTTATTTTCCTTTGATTCTGAAGGATAACTTTTCTGAACATAGTCATGTAGGTGGCAGATATTTTCTCTCAAGATCTCAAGTACATCATCCGTGCTACCCTGGCTGCTAGTATTTCTGCTTATAAATCTGTTATGTGAGGGTCTTCTTAGTAAGTACCCTTCTCTTAAACATGTGCCTTGGGGTGTAGCTTTCCTGAAGAGTTAGATTAATTCCAAGTGGATAATCTAGGTTGCTTATCTGTGGCTTCTTTGGCTGGTAATAATGGGTTTTGAAACTCCAAGTATTCTGTCAGAATACGATATTTTTCTCTATATTTCTCATACAAATAGAGGTCCTTCTGGTAGTTCAGATATGTTGTTATAGACAGCACAGTGTGTAGGGCATTTTTTCTGTAATTATTTTTCCAGTATTACTTTTAGTGTTTGGTGTGAGAGGATATGGCAGCAACCTGTACTGAGGTCTTTTCTTTCCCCACAACATTTGAATTATTTCCCCCATGATTTCTTAAGCTGGAGATTGTCCAGAAGCAGGAGTTATGTCTACTTGTGGAGCCTCATCAGCTGTGGATTTCTCTCTTCCCTATCCATTAAGTTGAAATTCCAACCAATACTTCGGCAGTACTAGGTCATGGCTTCAGTAAGGTAAAACTTCTCTAGACTGGCTGGAGTTATATCTCAGTGGCAAAGCACACACCCAATATGTTTGAGGTTCTCTGCTTGATCACCAACATAACTCAGCAAAAAGAAAACAACAGCAGTGCCCACAATATAACAATAAACTGGCTGAGCATGGTGGAACATGCCAATAATCCCAGCCACTAAGGAGGTTGAGGCAGGAGGATTGTGAGTTCAAATCCATCCTTTGCAACTTAGCAAGACTCTAAGCAACTCTGTGAGACCTGTCTCAAAATTCGGAAAAGAAGCCAGTGCATGTCTGTAATCTCAGTGGCTTGAGGGGCTGAGACAGGAGGATTGCAAATTCAAATCCAGTTTAAGCAATTTAATGAGTCACTAAGCAACTCAGTGAGACTCTGTCTCTAAATACAATACAAAATAGGGCTGGGGATGTGGCTTAGTGGTCCAGTGCCCCTGAGTTCAATCCCCAGTACCCTTCCCCACAAAAAAAAATTTGAAAAAAGGGTTGGGAATGTGTCTCAGTAATTAAGTTCCCCTGAGTTCAATCTCTGTTGCCAAGTAAAATAAATTTAAAAACCAGCTATATAAATACAGTAATAATCAATTACATTCAACAACAACTAAAGGAGCAGTAACAATAGATAATGGGAAGAAGAAATATAGAATGAAAAAGAAAGTCAAAAATAGTAAAAGAGAAACTAATTCAAAAAATATTGAAGTTGGAAAATAAAAGGGAAGGAAGAAGGGGAATTAAAAGGGAGGAAGAAAAATATTTGTAGCAAAAAAGGGAAAATATTAACCAGGCAGGCGGCATTTACCTGTGATCCTATGGGCTCTGAAGGCTGAGACAGTATTACAAGTACAGTACTAGCTTGAGCAACTTAGAAAGAAGGTATTTCATAAATAAATAAGTAAATAAATTTTAAAAGACTGGGGATGTAGCTCTGGGTTCAATCACCAGTACAGTAAAGAGAAGGGGAGTGTGAGAAATAAGAAGAGAGAAAAATTCCATTTGAAGAATTAAAAAAAAAAAAACACAAATTAATTAACTAGTAGTAAGGAAACATAATAAAGCATAAATAAAAATATTTGTCAAAAATCTTCCCAGCAAATATATTTGCATTGAAGACACCTTTTCCATGTCATCTAACATTTGAATCCACCAGGAATGTGGGAGTCAGTAAACTGCAAAAGAAATCAGTTTCAGTTCCTTTCGCTTCCCAGCAAACATGCTGGGATCAGAGGCAATAAATTGACTATACTGTGCTATTCATTTCTTGTCAAGGAGGTTAAAGGTGTGTTTACAAGACAAGCATACTATCCCCACGGGGGTTTTGTCTGGAAACCTGAAGGCATGTCAAATGTCAAGTCAGCTCTCCTTTCAGTGGTTTGCAGACCCAACAGGTAGGCACACATTTGCCCCAGATGCCTCTAGAAGGTGCCCATTGGGGTATACCTTGGGTCCTAGCCATGGTAAATCTATGAAAAGCATGTGGGAAATAGTGTAATCCCAGGATAGGTGACATGGGAATGTTATGAATTGCCAGATGCTGTCTCTAAGCTCTCAGACCTGGTCCTTATGTGCAACCACACTGCCTGGTATTGCTCTTCTTCACAGAGGAAGGGACCACTTACCAATGAGACCTCCATCCTTCCCCTACAATTTGATGCTCTCAGCATGTTTGTGACAAGCACTCTTCCTACCTGAGACTGTAGAACACTAACTTATACCCAATCACTCTGGCAGGGTGGCCCAGGGGCCTAAAATTGTGATTACCACATATTGTCTAAACCCCAGACTCATTTATTTCCTAACAATGGCCCCTTCTTAAGACAGCTCTTGGTGATATCACTCTGAGAACTTGCTAAGCAATGTGATGGATTTTTTTCCTAAAACTTGCTTGCTGTATAAGAGTATCCCCTCTCGGAACAATGCCCCAAATTTGATCTAAATCTTGTAAGAACCATGTGTTTCTTCCACAGCTAAGACTGCTGCTCTGCTGACACCATCTGGCTTGTCTGCCCTCTCCAGCTTACCTTATGCTTGCAGGTTGCCTCCCTCACCAGGCAGCTGGAGATGAAGTTGTAAATTACTTTGTACATTTCTCTGGGCTGCCTTTCTGCTTCTCCCTGTTGTTTATCAACTGTGTTTGATAAATAGTTCTTTATAGTTCCTCTATTTCTCTTCTCAAAGAACAATTATACATTTGGTCCCTAATGTTTTTAACTCACAGTCACAATAAAGTTACCTCTTTTCTGCTATTTACCTCCTACTTTTGAGTAATAACAACTCCTGAAAGAAGAATTTGGAAAAAAAAAAAAAGTAACATTCTATGATACCTAGTGAAGTTGAGCAATGTTGATATCTGAAATTCTCTTTTTGAGGAACTTGCTCAGTCTACCTAAAGTGAGTCAAATTTTGATGTCACATATCCAATCTGAACTCTGAAGCCTAGAATCATTATTGAAATATTTTTAGGTAAACCATAGTCCATTCATTTTCCAGTCTTAATGACCATATGATTATGATTTCTCCTGGATTCATGGCTGTCACCTGAGGTTTCTGATGATCTCATTCCAGTTCTGCACTCTATCCCCTGTGCTCTGGTCCTCCCACATCTCGGGCCATTGGCACTCAAGTGTGTGTGCTCTATAAGAAACAATCAGATGCTGGCCCATTAACTTTTAGAAATCATTCAGAAAAAGACACTTTTAACTACTCAAAGTAGGAAACCTGACATTTCTAGAATTGTGTTACCAGATCCCATGAAAATCTCTGCAAATAGTAAGTTTATCTCAGATAGCAACTACCTCACAACTTCTACATGAGGCATCTAACTAGATTGTGCTGTGTTTAATCTCATTTTTGTTTTTTACACAATTAATTCTCCTACTTATTTGGTAGGAATTGAAACTTAGCTGGTGCCCTGCTATAAATAATTCCATATCTTACACAGCAAGCTCTGCAATCTGAAAGTGAATTCTGCCAACTGATTGGTTGGGGGAGGGAGTATGAGAGGACAACAATACCGTTCTCCTTTTCTTTGTAAATACAACCATTAACACGATTCTTTCTCCTCAGAGACTCCACAGGTCCGCCTGGTGAATGGTGGCAGTCGCTGTGCAGGCAGAGTGGAGATCCTTTACCAGTATACCTGGGGCACTGTCTGTGGAGACGGCTGGGACCTGAATGATGCCCACGTGGTGTGCAGACAAATGGGCTGTGGAATGGCCCTCGATGCCATGAACTATTCACAATTTGGGAAGGGATTAGGACCCATCTGGCTGGATGAACTGAAGTGCACAGGAGAGGAGGACCAAGTGTGGCAGTGCCCTTCTCTAGGCTGGGGACATCATTACTGCACACACAAGTGGGATGTAGGTGTCATCTGCTCAGGTATGGTCTGCACATTCTCCACTGCCTAAGGGAATGAAAAGGACAAACAGTGTGTATTTGAGTCTTGGGAAATAAGAGACAGATGAGCCACAGAGGACTAAGAGTTCTCCTTGGACCCTGAGTGTTCAAAATAGCAGTGGGTAATGGGATTTAATTATTTCTTTTGAATCTCAAATATCGTTCTTTCCCTTCTCTGTAGTCATACTTGAAAAGATAGGTTTTTGGTTTTGTAGAATTATTTTACTTAAAATCATCTTCATAATTTGTTTCTATAATTTACTATTTATAGATTTACCTATAAATTAACACACATAACTACTTTTCAAAAGAGAGACAAGAATGGGGGTTGCTTTTTTCAATTGAATTGAGTGTTCATGTATGTATAGCCAGAGATAATTTTTCATTGGGTTAGCAGGTGTATGGGCCCAGGGATGGGACTAAACACATCACAGGGTAATTTAAGAATTACCACAAAATTGCAATTCTCTTTTCCATATTCAGACATCATAATTATCAACTCATTGGCAGGAAGGGCCGGAGAACTTTGAGTTAAATGCTCTGAGTCACGGGTTTTCCTTCCATCATTACTACATAGATTGTCTCTACATTTCTTTCTTAAAGCAATATCTGTATAAACTCATATGTGGGAGCTGAATTTAGCCTTGTGCTGGCAGATTAGTGTTGGATGAAACAAAATATTAATGCATATTTATTGTGTAAGATGTTATATAATTTAGAACTCAGATCAGGATGATTGTTCAGTGATCTCTCACAAAAACACCACATTAACTGTAATTCACACACAAAACTGGCACATAAAAACACCACATTAACTGTAATTCACACACAAAACTGGCACATAAAAACACCACATTAACTGTAATTCACACACAAAAGAGACAATAAAGCAGGCGGGTGCATGCTTTTACATAGATTAAAAAAAAGGCACATTGAAAGAGGAAGGAAGATAATACTTACCCTTTCTCCAACCTCAGGGAGCCCAATATGAAGAGAAATGCCTACTTTTTGGAGAATGGAAAGGGAATTAATCCCAAATCTTAGACTTGAAACCCAGGAATAGGCCTGCCACAGTGAAACCTGGGTACCAACAGAGCCCAACAACCCTGTCCCCATGCCAGTAACCTCACACTGAGACTCTGGAACTCTGTTGTGTTGGGCAGCAAAACTGTCTCCACCACCACTTCTCCAACCTCTAGAAGAAGAGGGGAAAGCAAGAATCAGATAACAGTGCTGGCACAGGACTTTGTCTTGGAATTCAGTGCCAGACCAACCATGATCATATTCAGTAGGAATTAGAGGCCTCAAATGTAGAACAAAGGTAACTGAGCAAGACCTATGTGCTGGTGGGACAGACTCAAGAAGAGCCTGAAGCACCTGTGGCTGGTTGCAGGAGTTTAGAGCCTTGAGTCCACCTAGCAATAGGCAGCTCATAGCACTGAGTGCCTCGGTCCCTCCCCACTTCTGTGTTGCTTTGGCAGGCTGTGGCCTCAGTGTGTGATATAACATTGTAGGGTTGGTGGCCACAGGACTTCCCAACCTTCTTCCTCAACCCCTGGCAGCACAACATGGAGAGAGTTAAGTCTCTTTGTGAAGGTGAAACATTATTTGGGGGATTGTGACTGGAAGCCTCGGGGGGTTCTTATCTCTATATATTAGGGTACAGATCTCAAAGATGAAAGATAAAGACTCTCAGGCATCAAGAGAAAAAACTATGAAATAACATGTCCCAATTCACCTGATGGCAGTGTTCTTAACAGTAAACATATAGGTCAGAAGTGAGTGCCATGAGATTTTCATAGAAATTAAGAAAAACCTGCCAATCAAGAATACTGAATCCATCAAATATATCCTTTAGACATGAAGGAGGTACAAAGACATTATCAGACATCCTGCTGCCCTAAATTACCATATGGTACAGCAATCCCAACGCTGAGTATATGTCCAAAGAAGTGAAATCTGTATGTTAAAGAGACATCTGTACTCCCATGTTTATGGCAGCACTATATATTGTAGCTAACAAATGGAAATAATGCCCATCGGCTGATCAATGGATAAAGAAATGAAATATAATGGAATACTATTTAGCCATAAAATAAATTAAACATTTTTATTTGACATAATACGCATGGGTCAGGAGATAATTAGGTTAAGTGAAATAAGTCAGGCAAAGAAAGACAAGTATCTTATAATCTCACTGTATGTCAAATATAAAAGAGTTGACCTCATAGAGGTTGAGAGTAGACATGTGGTTATCATAGACTAGAGAGTGTAGGGAATGGGAATGGAAAGCAACAGACTGATTGATGACTAATGGGTTTTACTTAAATAGGAGCAAAATGTTCTGGTGCACTGTGGCACAGGAGGGTGGCTACAAAAAACAATAAGGAACTACATTTCACAGAGCTAAAAGAAAGTGTTTTGGAAGCTTTCAAAAAAAAGAAATGAAAAGATTTGAAGAGACAAAGAAATGCATATATACATACATCAGCACATGAATTAATGAAATTTATATGTACACTAAGTCAGTAGATATCAGTTAGTTTAAATTTACTTAGATAAAAATGAAGGAAAATATAAAGATGATTAGATAGAGGGAAAAATATATTGTTTATATCTAATGGAAATAATGATACAAGAAGAGTATATTGTCAAATAAATTTGATAAGAATGAGACAGGAAGACAAATAGAATTTTCCAAAGAAGACAGAGGAAGCTTACAGTATGTGGGGGATTACCTTCAAAGGTTGATAAAGAGCACATAAGGATTATTTCAGCAGCATTTAAGACCCTGGTGTTGGAAGGGCAATCTGTGTACACTGTGTGAATTCAGTATACCCCTACTGTACAAAAGGAGAAAAATGATTTTCAAGAGTGACTCAAGGTTGAGGTATTAGACAAAGTCAGAATTGAAAAAGAAAAGGTCCCTTGGATGATACTTTCATAAGAAACTTGAAATATGCCCAGGGGAGCAATGTGTCTATGGAGCTAAAGATAGGACAAAGATATGTATGACTGTAATTTGTAATTTACTCCAGTGAGAAAAATTCATATGAATCTATAGATTTCTGCAGATGCAATTTTTCTTTCTTTTTTCACCCAATGGTTCACAAACTTCAAATGGCTTAAAACTGGGTTTCTCCCCACTGGATGAAAAGCTCTGCAAAGTTAATGACATTATTTTCTTTAAATATATATACCCAGCACCTAAAAACACATCTGGAACATGACAGATTCTGAAATCATGCTAGTGTTGTGAATAACAAAACAGGGAAGCAGACTCTCAATATCATCTTTATATATCTCTTTCCTATATCAGGACTAGGGAGAAAGTTCAGATTGTGTCTCCTTTGAAGACCTCTCTGCTGCATTTTTATCCTTTCCCGATCGGAGGCATTTTTTATCCATACTCAGTAAATTCCATTTTGATGACTTACTTTGAAAAGAAAAATTACTGAACATGTTGTTTTTCCAGAGAAAGGATTTCCTTCTTCAGGATACCAACCTACTATTACATTACAATTGCATATCTGTAGTCAGATGCCACCCCAAAGATCTGAACCGATACTCAAAATCGCTTCCTGATCAACTTCAATAGATGTCTAATGGCTTCTTCCAACTCTACATATTAGTAACAGAATGATCCCTTGAAACAAAACAAAAAGGCAAATATGCATGCTCAAGTCTCTTCACAACTTCTGGTCCTACTTCTTTTGGGGGTGGGTACTAAGGATTGAACTCAAGGGCACTCAATAACTGAGCAACATCCCCAACACGTTTTTTGTATTTTATTTAGAAGGTAGCAGACTGATCAATGAGTTATTTAGCAACTTGCCATTGCTATGGCTGCTTTGAACTCAAGATCCTCTGGCCTTAGTTTCCCTACCTACTGGGATTATAGGCCTATGCCACCTCACCCAGCTGATCCTACTTCTAAATTCTCTTTCTGTCTTCTTTAATGGGAAGAATGGTGTAAAGAACCCAGATTATCTTAGTCATCATAACCTACTTTTCATCTCTGTCTCACACTATTTTGTGGGCTCTTTTCTCATATTTAAATGAGAAATTAATGTAAATTCTCATTTTTGGTTACATTTTAATTTTTTCATTCTTTAACAAGTTTTAACTTAGTTGGAATTATTACCTGTGAACTGGAAATTTCTGAGGCTAAAATAGTAAAAAATTAGTTCTAGTCTTTTTTTACACTAAGTTCAAATTCAGGGAGTAGATATAGGCCTTATTAAAAAGGAGGTAGACTGACACAGACACACAGTTAAATATATTGTAATACATAGAATAATATATCCATATTATATACACAATATATATAAATACACAATATATATGTATATTGTGTATATAACTTCTGGAGTCAGCCATTTAGAACTGACCTTACAAATTCCTCCTCCTAAAGTTGTCTTCAGACACTTGCTCATGCAATCTCCATTCTGACACCATTGAATTCATTCCTTGGAAAAGAAAAGATTTTACAGCTTTCCTGAGACATATAGCTCCCAATTCCAACCCTAGATACTCATTGCACTAGTTATTTTCTTCCACAGGATTTGTGCGTTTGGATGGAGGAGGTGGACCCTGCTCTGGGCGAGTGGAAGTGAATTCTGGAGGAGGATGGACTCCAGTACCTTATGGGAATTTCACATTACCCACTGCCCAGGTCATCTGTGCAGAGCTGGGGTGTGGCAAGGCAGCATCTTTTCTCTTGGACCTGCCCCTCAGAGAGGCCAATGAACAGGTCTGGGCTGAAGAGTTCCAGTGTAAGGGATGGGAGCCTGAGCTCTGGTTCTGTCCCAGAGTGCCCTGTCCTGCAGGCAGCTGCCAACACAGAGGGGCTGTGCAAGTTCTCTGCTCAGGTGAGGCTCACAGCAGGACTTTAACCATCTTGCACACTCTGATGTGGTAACAAATGTGAGATGTTACTAAAATCCTGTCTTCTCCTGCCAGAATACACAGAAGTCAGGCTCATGAAAAATGGCAGCTCTCAGTGTGAGGGTCAAGTGGAGATGAAGAACTCTGGAGGCTGGAGAACACTCTGTGCCTCCCACTGGAATATGGCCAATGCCAATGTTGTTTGCCATCAGCTGGGCTGTGGGGTTGCCATCTCCACCCCAAAGGGAGCATACTTTGTGGAAGGAGGAGATGAGATCTGGAGAGACCAATTCCACTGCTCAGGGTCTGAGTCCTTCCTGTGGAATTGTCCTGTGACTGCCCTGGGTGTTCCTGCCTGTGCCCATGGAAACACAGCCTCTATGGTCTGTTCAGGTAAGAGAGGTCAGCGCTGACTGGTACTCAGCTTTCTCATTGAGTGACATGTCTCTAAGAGCAGACAGCATGGAGAGCAGAATAGAAATATGAGATATGCCTTGGTGAAATATGATTCTTCTCAATGATCATTTATCTTTCAGACCCTGTCAAGGGTTATTCAGAGGATTTTTTTTGATTGATAAAGTCTACAGGTTTATTATTCCCTATGTAGCTGAGCAGACAGATAAACAGAGTAAGATAAAGAACACACAAATACCATCTGCAACATTTTCTCAAGTCTTAAACTTTTGCTACCACATTTGCTTCAAACATTTATCATTATTATTTTTATATGTTCTTACTAGCTATACATGATAGTAGAATGTATTTTGATATATTATACATATCTGGAATATAAATTCTCATTCCTCAGGTTACACATAATGTAGAGTTCCAACAGTCATATAATCATAATTGCACATACGGTGATAATGTCTGATTCACTCTACTATCCTTCCTACTCTTATACAACTTCCCTTCTCTTCACTTCCCTCTGTATAATCCAAAGTAACTCTATTCTTTCCTAGCACCCACCCACCTTATTGTGAATTAGTATCTGCATATCAGAGAAAATATTTGTCCTTTGGTTTTGTGGGATTGGTGCGTTTCACTTGGCACAGTAGTCACCAGTTCTATCATTTACTGGCAGATGCCATAATTTTATTCTTCTTTATGGCTGAGTAATATTCCAATGTGTACATATACCATATATTTTTTTAGCCATTTATCTGCTGAAGGACATCTAGGTTGCTTCCATAGCTTAGCTATTGTGAATTGAGCTGCTATAAACTGTGTAGCTATAGCATACTGATTTTTAGTCCTTCAGGTGTATGGTGAGTAATGGGATAACTAAGTTAAATGGTCGTTCCATTACAAGTTTCCTGATGAATCTCTATACCACTTTGCATAATGGTTGCACCAATTTGCAGTCCCACTCATATTTTATGGTTGTACCTTTCCCTCCCATATCCTTTCCAATATTTATTGTTACTTGTATTCTTGATAATTTCCATTCCAACTGAAGAAACGAGATCTCCGTGCAGTTTTAATTTGCCTGACTCTAACTACTAGAAATGTTGATAATTTTCTCATATACTGAACAATTGTATTTATTCTTCTGTGAAGTGTCTGTTCAGTACCTTAGCCCACTTATCTATTGGGTTATTTGGGGTGGTGTTAAATTTCTGAGATCTTTATATACCCTGGAGATTAATGCAGGTGACAATGATCTTCTACTAATCTGTCGGCTCTCTCTGCATATTCTTGATTGTTTCCTTTGCTGTAAAGAAGCTTTTAAGTTTGAATACATCCTATTTGTGATTTCTTGATTTTACTTCTTGCATTTAGGAGTCTTGTTAAGGAAGTCAGTTTAGAAACTGACGTGGTGGAGATTTGGAACTACATTTACTTCTATTAGGCACAGAGTCTCTGTTCTCAAGCCTAAATCCTTGATCCACTTTGAGTTGAGTTTTGTGCAGGGTGAGAGATTTGGGCACAACTATATTTTGCTGCATATGAATTTCCAGTTTTCCCAGCACCATTTTTGAAGAGGCTATCTTTTCTCCAACGTGTATTTTTGGCATCTTTGTCTAATATGAGATAACAGTATTTATGTGGGTTTAACTTTGTGTCTTCAATCTGTTCCATTGGTCTACCTGTCTTTTTGGTGCCAACACCATGCTGCTCTATAAGGTCTGGTATTTTGATGGCTCTAGCTTTATTTTTATTGATAAGGATTGCTTTGGCTATTCTGGGTATCTTATTTTTCCAAATGAATTTCATGACAGATTTTTATATTTAAATGAAGAATGCCATTGGAATTTTAATGGTAATTTCATTAAATCTGTATAGAGCAATTGAGAGTATGGCCATTTTGTTCAATGTTACTTCTGCTCCCCATGAACATGGGAGATCTTTACATCTTCTAAGGTGTTCTTCAATTTTTTTCTTTAATGTTTTGTAGTTTTCATTGTAGAGGTATTTCATCTTTATTTGTTAGATTGATTCCCAAATATTTTAATTTTTTAGGCCATTTGAATGGGGTATTTTTTTCTAATTTCTTTCAGTGGATTCACCACTGATGTATAGGAAAGCAATTGATTTGTGTGTGTTAATTTTATTTTCAGATTAATTTGCTTAATTCATTTATTAGTTCTAAAAGTTTTCTGGTGGAATTTTTTGGGGTTTTCTAAATATGGGTCATGTCTTCAGCAAATAGGGATTGTTTGAGTTCTTCCTTTCCTATTTGTATCTATTTAATTTCTTTATTTTGTCTTATTGCCCTGGCTAGAATTTTAAGGACAATGTTGAAGATCAGTGGTGAAAGAGTGCATTCTTGTCTTGTTCCAGTTCTTTGAGGAAATGCTTTCTGTTTTTCCCCATTTAGAATAATGTTGGTTTTGGATTTAACACATATAACTTTTACAATGTTGGGGTATGTTCCTACTATCCCTAATTTGTCTAGTGTTTTGAACATGAAACCATGCTGTATTTTATTAAGTGATTTTTCTACATCTGTTGAGATGATCATGTAATTTTTGTCTTTAAGTCTATCAATGTGTTGAATTATGTTTATTAATTTCTGTATGTTGAATGAAACTTGCATCCCTGGGATGAAACCTGTTTGATCATGGTGCACTATTTATAATATTTTTGTATGAGATTTCCCAGAATTTTAATGAGAATTTTTGTATCTATGTTCATCAGAGATATTGGTCTGAAGTTTTCTTTCCTTGATGTGTCTTTGTCTTGTTTTGGTATCAAGGTAATATTAGCTTCATAGAATGAGTTTGGAAGGGTTTCTTTTTTCATTTCATTGAAAAGGTCTATTGGTATGGATTGTATTTGATCATAATTTGAGGTCTATTGGTATGGATTGTATTTGATCATAATTTGAGGTCTATTGGTATGGATTGTATTCTTGACTGATATACATTTTCTTTCAAGGTCTTGTAGAATTTGGCTGAGAATCAATCTGATCCTGAGCTTTTCTTGGTTGGTAGGCTTTTCATGGTGACTTCTATTTCAGTGCTTGAAATTGATCTGTTCATGTCCTCCTGATTCAGTTTGGTTAGGTTCATATGTCTCTAGAAATTTATTAGTGTCTTCAAGACTCTATTTTTTTTTAAATTAAGTATAAATTTTCAAATAGTTTCTGATCATCATCTGTATTTCAGAGATATTTAATTTTTCATCACAAACTTTTAGTAATTTCTGCTTTCTCTCTCTTTGTCTTAGTGGCTAAGGATTTATAAATTTTATTGATTTTTTTAAAGAACCAAATTTTTGGTCAACTTTTTGAATTATTTATTTTGTTTCCATTTTATTGATTTCAGCGCTAATTTTAATTTTTTCCCCTGTCTTCTATTGTATTTGGTGTTGATTTGCTCTTCTTTTGCTAGGGCTTTGAGATGTAATGTTAGATTATTTATTTGTTGACTTTGTATTCTTTTAGTGAATGAGCTCAATGCAATGAACTTTCCTCTTAGCACTGTCTTTATAGTGTCCCAGAGATTTTGATATGTTGTGACACTATTTTAATTTCCCCTATGTATTTTTTTTTGTTTCATCCCTGATTTCTTCTGCTATCAATTGGTCATTCAGTAGTGTATTATTTAATCTCCTGGTGTTAGAGTAGCTTCTATTTTTTATTTTATCATTGATTTCTAATTTTATTTTATTATGATCTAATAGAATGCAAGACATTATCTCTATTTTTTGTATTTTCTAAGAGTTGTTTTGTGGCATAAGATATGGTCTATTTTAGAGAAAGATTAATGTGCTGCTGAGAAGAAAGTGTCTTTGAACATTGAGGTATGAAATACTCTATATATGTATTTAAAGTCTAATTTTTTGATTGTAATATTTAGTTCTATAGTTTCTTTAGTTTTTTGTTTGGAGGATTTATCCAGTATTGACAGAGATATGTTATACTCACCTAGTATTATTGTATTGTGATCAATTTCTTTCTTGAAATTGAGAAGAATTTATTTCATGTACATAGATGCTCCATTGTTTGGGGCATACATATTTACAATTGCTATGTCTTACATATGTATCATTCCCTTAAGCAGTATGAAATGTCCTTCTTTGTGTCTTATGATTAGCTTTTGCTTGAAGTCCACTTTATTTTATATGAGAACAGAAATCCCTGCTAGTTTACATGATCCATATGAGTGATATAGTTTTTCCTGTCTTTTCTCTTTTAATCTGATAATGTGTTTGCCTATGAGGTGAGCCTCTTGGAGAGGTTATATTGTTGGGTTGTGTTATTTTCATCTAACATGCCAGTCTATGTCTTTTGATTGATGAGTTCTGGCTATTTATGTTCAAAGATATTATTGAGATATGATTTGTATTCCCAATCATTTTGTTTTATTTCTGGTTTTTAATTTAATTTAGTTTATCCTTTGATTGACTATTCCTTTAGTGTAGTTTCACCCTTTGCTGGTTTTCACGTATATTTTTTATTTCTTCTTCCTGGAATATTTTGCTGAATGTGTTCTGAGTGCAGGATTTCTACTTGTAAATTATTTTAAATTTTGTTTATCATGGAATGTTTTGATTTTATTTTCAAATATGAAGATTAATTTTGCTGGGTATTGTATTCTTGGCTGACATCCATTTTCTTTGAAGGTTTGATATATATTATTCCAAGACCTCTGAGATTTGAGTGTCTGGAGTGAGAAATTAGCTGAGATGCAAATTGGTTTTCCTATAAATGTAAACTGACATTTATTTCCAGAAGCCTTAACAATTCTATCCTTATTCTGTATGTTAGGCATTTGAAAGAATGAAAGCAAGGAAGAAAGAGAAAGAATGAGCAACAGAAATGAAAAATACATTTCATTTTTCTCATCATTTCCTGACTCATAAATTTGGGAAGGGCTCTTGGCAGTTGCCTCTTGGGATCTGTCATAAGGTTACACTTGAATGCCATGTGGAACTGAGATCATTTGAACGCTTGACCCATTTGGAAATCCAGGATAGTTCATTCACATGGCTGGTAGCTTGAAGTTCAATTGGGGCTGTTGACAGAACCACCTGCAAATGTTCTCTCCCACATGATAGTCTCTATACAGTGGATATGCCATAAATCAAACATCCTAAAGAGAAGGAGGCATGACTTTTTAAGCTAGGTTCCTAAGTCAAGCTATGTTGGCTTCACCACATTCTATTGCTTATAGACAACCCACCATGGTCAGCCCAGATTAAAGGTAAGGAGGAATGGATTCCACAGGTCAATGAATAGAGCATCACAGATTTTGTGGATATTTTTTAAAGCTATATGTATATTGAATATCTGACTTTGTGTATTTTCTAAGTTACATTTTTAACACTATCATAGTAGCCTTAATTACCTAAGACTTATAGATTACATAGGAATGTTAGGTTCTCTCACCATGTCTCTCAAATCCCTGTTTATAGTTTCTATCCTTATCTTTCTGTGCTTTATTCTATATTTTTTCTATGTTTTTGAACTTTGCAATTTCTATTCTGTGATAATCTAATATTGTTGACTCATCTTTGGGTTCTTATTTTTAGCTCTTGACTTTTTAACTCTCAAATTTTTATTAGATTTTTGTGATCATTTCTCTGCTAAGATGCACATCATGCCATTTAATAGACCATTTAATCATGATTATATAAATTTCCTATAAAGAAACACCAATACTAATATATGAAAATATTTCCCATTTTTTCTTATTTTTCCTCTTTGTTCTCTATTAAATTCTATTTTATGTGGTATTTTGGATCAACATTGTTTTGAGAAACTATAAAAAACCTTCAGAGAGGATTTTATTTTGCCCCTTCTGGGTACTTTATTTAAGGTAGATCACGTTACACAAAAACAACTGAAGTTTTAAGAAACTGGGCACCATCCCTGTGACAAAAATTCTTTCAGTTGACAAATATGATACAACTTTCCTGGTTGTTTAACATGATTCCTCCTTTTTGGTCCAACCTAAATTATATTTGTGTATGACCAAATCAGTCTGTCAAACATGATTAGATTTTCAGTCTCAGCTTCTAACTTTAAATGAGCAAATGCCTTCAGGAAAAAATAGATGATCCCAATTTTTACTATTCTCTTTACTGGACTCCTAAAGGCTAGCTGTCCCTGAAGCTCTGCAGTGCTCTCAAGAGGAAGTAACATATTCCACTTTTCTAAAGTCACTCTGAGTGCTTGACATAAAGCACAAAAGTGTCATAGTCAGAAACAGAAATCTCCATTAGAACAGTTCTGAAGATGAAATTACTGATTTTGTCCTATAGCTGTCAGATGCCATCACTAGATTATTATGTACCTTAATTAAGTTTCCTGCTCTCTACTCCCAGGTGTAGGTAGCCAGATCCAGCTGCTGCCCCAGTGCAATAACTCCTGGTCTGACCCAGAAGGCTCTGTAGACACAGAAGGGCACACTCTCAACTGCTCAGGCGAGCAAGGCCCTCAGCACAAGAGCCTTCCCATTTCCTGTGCAAATGCCCACTGACATGATCCTGTCTCTCCACAGACAGAAGACAGCTCCGCCTGGTGGATGGGGGCAGTCGCTGTGCAGGGAGAGTGGAGATCCTGCAGCAGGGCTCTTGGGGCTCCATCTGTGATGACAGCTGGGACCTGAGTGATGCTCATGTGGTGTGCAGACAGCTGGGCTGTGGAGTGGCCCTGGAGGACACCATCTCTGCTCACTTTGGAGAGGGATCAGGGCCCATCTGGCTGGATGAGCTGAATTGTACAGGAGAGGAGACTCATGTGTGGCAATGCCCTTCCCAGGGCTGGGGGCAGCACAACTGCAGACATAAGGAAGACGCTGGGGTCATCTGCTCAGGTCTGTGGTTCACACTGGGTATAGGTGGGAGAAAGTGAGGAGGTTGTGCAGGATGGTATCTGAGCTTTAGGGCAGAGGAGGGGAAATTGGTCTCAGTGTGGATGGGGAGGATGCTCACCCCACAGTGCCTGTCCCTCTAGCAGAAAAGATGAGGTGCTTCCATTTTCTCCTGCAGCAGCTGAGCTTCTGCTCCTTCCTTCTCATCCCTGCCTCCTGACATTCATTCTCTTCAGTGTCTACTTGACTGTAGACCTCATGCTTCAGTTACTGTGTGTGCAAAATCCTAAGACCCCACTGTATTAGTTTCCTATTGCTGTTATAATAAATTGCCAGAGTTAATGGCTTAAGACAACATGAGTTTAAGTTTGACCCCAGTTTACCTGAGATATAAACAAGGTGTCAGTGAGCTACATTCAGCTGAGGCTCTGGGAAGATTCATTTCCTTATCTTTTCCAGCATCTAAAAGTTACCTGTATTTCCCTTCCTTATTCAAGTCAACCACCTTTTATACTTCTGATTATTTTTCATCTTTACATCTCTTTTTGACCAGGGTCAGAAACCATTATCTGCTTGTAAGAATACAGATCTAAGTATGTGGTTAGATTGAGCTCATATGGTTAATCCAGGATAATCTAAAATAATTTCATCATTAAAAAATCCTCATATTGATCTTGTTTGCAGGCACTCTTTACCTCACAAAATAATTTATTCACAAGCTCCAGGATCAGGAACTGACATAGCTGGGACTTCACTATTCTGCCACCTCACTGTTCATACCCCCTTTCCCAAGGTCTGTCATATTTAGTCAAGTAGCTTTTCCTCCCTCCCTTCAAGAGCCCCACTTCAGTTTTCCTGACTGTTCATTTTCGACTACACCACTGTCATAGAAATAGAAAGAGACATACAAGTTATCAAAACAGGTAAAAGGATAAAAGTTTCGTCTTTCCACCTGGTGGGCATTTCATCAGAAAAGTTAGCAATGAGCACTCACTAACTAGGGACAGCACTAAGGGTTAAATACTCACTCTGTCCTATTTTCCTCCTCTTGGTTTCAGAGTTCCTGGCCCTCAGGTTGGTGAGCGAGGACCAGGAGTGTGCTGGGTGGCTGGAGGTTTTCTACAACAACACCTGGGGCAGTGTCTGCCACAGCCCCATGGAAGCTGTGACCTTGTCTGTGATCTGCAGACAGCTTGGCTGTGGGAACAGTGGGATTCTCAACTCTTCTGTTCCTCTCAGAGAAGGTTCTAGGCCTCGTTGGGTGGATGGAATCCAGTGTAGGAAAACGGACACCTCTCTCTGGCAGTGTCCTTCTGTCCCCTGGAAATGGAGATCTTGCTCTGCAAAGGAGGAAGCTTATATCATGTGTTCAGGTGATTTATTCCCTATTCCTGTGTCCTCACTCTGTAAGTTGTTAGAGAAATTTCATACGTTCAAACCAGAAGAATGAGTTCAAATAAGTCTATGAGGCACAAGTTTGAATAGAGAATTTTAGCCTCAATTTACAATCTTGTTTTGATGACAGAATTAAGTAAACCTGTTATTACATTTATGTGAAAAATGCCGTGGATATTAAATTGAGCATGTAGAAGCATGAACTTACCCTCTAAAAAATGTCTAAGCAGATGGCTAGTGCAGTCTTAGGCTATAATAATTACTCTGCATTTCCATAATAGAGTGATAAATTTGACCTCACTTATATAAATCACTTGCTATGTCCTGTCATAGTTTTAGTTTTTTTTTTTTTTTTCACATGTAATGCAAGTTAAACCACTCAGCAATCTGTTCATAGGTATTATGGTGATCATTCAATCCAGATGTGGAAATTAACATTAGGAGTAAGCACTTCATTCAACCCATACACTCAAGAGAGTGAGGGACAACTTAGGGTAATCAGTACTAGTGGGTTATCTTTGAGATCATGGTCTTTTACTCTGAAATCCATCAACATCAGTCAGACAAACTATAAGCTCAGATTGTTGATGATAAGTAATTGAGTGAATTACATCCAAAAACTTAATATGAGGCATGAGGAGGAAAGACAAGAATAACATACTCTCTGTGTCCTCATGAAGTTTACCCTCTAGCATGAGGATACACACCACCCATAAATGTGTGTCATGAAGAAGTGGAAGGTGCTATGGAAATGGGTAATTTGAGGAAAAGAGAAATCATATTTAGGTTGAGACCAATGAAGGAAGTAGATGTCAAATGAAGAAAGTAATAAGACCTTTTGTTCAGTGTAAATACTGAAGTGTGAAAAGTCTGGTGATCTTGAGGGACTGATGAAATCCCATCATGAGCAGAGTAGGAAGAAGCTGGGGAGAGTGATGCCTGATTAACTGGATGGGTAAGAAGAGTTCAGATCCTTTCCAAGGCATGGTCCCAATACCAATTTTGTTGAAAAGCTGTTTGTTAATCTTTTCCTCTGCCACATTATGGGGAATTACTGTGAGAATGAGGGTCCTAGTCGCCCCTTATTTTCTTCTTGAATTCATCTCCTCACAGTCTTGTGGTCTTGTTTGATACTACCACCTCTGAGTCTTTATCCATATGCTACTGCAAATGAACCACTCCGTCTGCCTCCCAGAAAACATTCTATGGGGTTTGTTGGAAATTGGAGGCTATTGTCTTCCAATTTCATAAGACCTATAATGTGTGCTTCAGTTTTATATTTTGATAAAAACCTGGCTGTCCTCTGAAAATAATGATATCATTTGAGGGTCTGTTCTTCTCTTTCAAAAGGATATTTCTGGGCCAAATCTTAGAATAAAAATATTCCTGTTTTCCTTTGTCATTTTCCACAATTTCTTTTCTTTTCTCTCCATGTCCATCTACTTGAAATTTGCCCATCAGATGGCACCAGCTACCACTTCAATTGGTGTCACTCTCCAACCTGGTCACACCCTCTCATCCAGGAAAGCTGCAGTACCAGGCTCACCAGGCTCCTCTGTCTTCTGTTCTTGGTGCTGCCAGAATCCTTGAATACAACTGAGATAACACCCTGGCCTCTTTATTCCTGACTTTCTCCCTTAAAAGCTCCACTTACATCCCATCTCCCTGTATGGCCACACTATTGTCCATCACTAACTGTCCAGCTTGAGATCTTTTTTGTATTGTTCCTTCTCTGACTGTTGCTTCTTCTGCTTATGGGACTATCATGATGCTCCTTTTCCAGATATTTCATCCTCATGCAGATTCCAAGTGTTTTCCCTTATCAGGTTTTCATTTTTCCACTCTCCTCATGATTGCAGATGTTCTTCTTACCCTGATTAGACAACATGACGTTGCATTATAATCCTCCCCCTTCAAGTACACTCAATTCTCTCTTCTCTTCTTTATCAATGAGAAGAATGGTTGAGTCAACTACCTAACTCTCCACTACCTGCACTGGACTAGGCAAGGACTGATGAATCATGGACAAGTACTATACCTTGTTAAAATGTGAAATTACCCTGCTAGTCTCTTTGAATTTGTGATCCAATCTCTGATGAATCCTCCACACTGGCCCCATATTGTAGTGTGCTTCTCTCACATGTGCTCTTGCCCTCTCTCTAACATGACATTTTACAAATTTCCTGATCTCTCCCTCGTTTCTATTTAAACTACATCATACACATAAATGATGATCTTCCCTCAAACTTCACTGGAAATTGAAACTCTCAGCTGTCTATCTTATTTTTTTTTTATTTTCTAATTTATTGATTATTATTCTGTCTTAGAGTCTTGCGACTTTTTTTCTTCAATATCTAAATTTTAGACTCAGTATTCTTCTTTAGCTCTTTCCCATCCCTTTTCTCATTGGGGTCCATGGCCTTAGATGATATTATTCCACCCACAGCTCCCAATATAAACCTCCATTCCTGATCTCTGCCCTTAAATTCATTTCATTGCTAATGGATACTCTCGTTTGCAAATATAATGGACAGCTCAAATTTAGTTTTCAAAATAGAGTGTTTTATTCCACCCCTTTAAGCCCTGCCTCTAACTTTTTCTCCCTGTTTTATTCCCTTCCCAGTTAACGCCACTGTTATTACCCAGTTACTTATTCTCAGTCTACATTCATGTCTTAATGTCTTCATTTTACTCTCTCTCCAATTCCAATGTAATAGTAAGTTCTATGCCTCTACCAGCAAATATGTCTTAAATCTTTCTTCTCCAACTTTCCCACTCTCTTCTTAGTTCAGGAAAGATCCTTTGCAGCTTGGACTCTTCCAACAGTCTTCAGTGGTCTTTGACTTGTATAACATATTGTCTATTTAATGCCAGGAATATACTCATTCAACTTGATTAATGTGTGCTGTGTCACAAGTGAGCTGCCTTTAGAAGTGACACTGGCACATTTCTTTGTGGCTCCCAAATGCAGAAACAACCGGGAACCATGTCTCAGGAGTCTGTAATTAGTCTAATTAGCAGAAATGCCAAGGAAGATGTAGTCAGCTTATTGTTCTTGGACTTTGAAGGACTTTCCATGGAAGAGGGAGGAGAGTGTGAGCCACTCCTGATGTCAGGGCTGTGACTCTCAGGTACAGATTTCTACTTGTTGGGTTTGGGTTCACTCTAAGTTTAAGTAACACTAATGAACCTCTCCATGTGAGGACCCCCAGGGAATGAGTAATGCTGTCTGTCTGGGCAAAGAGCACTGGAGGTATGAAGACATGGCCATCTCACATCCTCTTAAGCTGTCCCATCTTTTTTTTTCTTTTTCCACAGAATCAGCCACATGCTTGACACTAGGAGATTTATGTTCTTCTCTCTAGTTTGTTTTTGCTGTAGAGTTAAACAATATCTTTTTTATTATACTGAATTACTAAAACCTTAATTACTCATTGAAATCAATGAAGACATATAAAAAGATAAAAGGTACATTAGTGACATTGCATAACCCTTGTCTATTCATAATTCTCTGAAGTGAATAGGATTAATGGGCTGGTAATTACTATTTTTCTAAATCCTCCATTTTCATGGAATCCTATCAAAACTCATATAGTGACAAAAGCATTTATCTTATGATTTCTTTTTATTTGGTTTTACAATATTGGGATTATATCATACTTATTATTGTTACATCAACTTTTCTTAAGAATTATTATGCATATTCCTCAAGTAGAACTCACACTTTTGTAAAATAACTCCATAATGTTTCATTCTTAAGCGACTAGTATTCCAGTTTGCATAAAATTTTGCTATTAATATATAATTCTTTTATATTTTTCCCTTCTACAAACAATATTGTAATATATATCCTTACACATGTAACACTGCATATTAGTAGGTTTGTTACTACAAGGTGACTGCCAATGGTTGTAAGATCACATAACATCTATTTAAAAAATATTTTCATACTTTGCAGGAGGAACTGTTTTTAATTGGCATTTCATATCTTGATAGAAAACAACAGCATTTTTTTTATAACTTGACCATTCAACTAAATTCAAAAAAACATACAGAACCTCAAAAATCAAAAAAGGAACAAAGCCCACAAACCTCTGCTAGGAACTGCCTGAAATCCAGGAAGAATGCAATGATAAATGATGGTAAATGTTTCAAAAGCAATTGCTTACTCTTTTCCCTTTCCTACTTTTCCACACCTTATTTTTTTCTTTTCCCTGTAGAGGCTGAGGGATAATAAATTATAAGAATATGTATTTATAATGTTTTTCCCTACAATAGACTCTGCATATTGAAATAGTGAGACATCCAATCCTGAAAGCGAGCAGCCACCAAAGAGAGGTCCTGTGATCATTTCTAGAGATGGTCTCTGCATAGGGTAGGAGGTTGACAGAATAATGGGGATAATGTATACCCATGAAGGTGTTTTAGGACAAGTGCCTTGTATGTTTTCTCTGTATTGTTTTTTTCATTTTCATGTATTATTTATTTTGCTTTACTTGGCTCTATGATACATCTATGTCCTTTCATGTATTAATTATCTTTACTGTATTATATTTTTATGCAAATGTTTCTATCTTACCAGCTAACTCTTGTGTACTTATTAACTTTTCTCTAAATTCTACTTGTTTTATTTATGTAAAATACATTTAATTTATTTAAAAGAATACTTTCAATTAAGTTGAATGAATACTTTCAATATGTTAATACTTTTTCATTAACAATATGAGGGATATTGAGTACAAATCACTTTTGGGATTATGTAGTATTTATGTTTTACATGTCTACTATTTATTACCACAAATCATTAATATTAACTTACATTTATTTTATTACCTTTTTGATTAGCAAAAATTCAAAAAAAAATTTCCAGCAGATTTTACTCATCTATTCGTTCAATCAGTAAATATTTATCAAGCCCACTGTTCATAACATTCATAGAAAGTCACCTGTACATACTTCTAATGAATGCATTCAACAT